TAATAACCTTCTGAGCAAGAGCTTAAGCGTTTGTTACATGTTAATTCTTAAGGAGATTTAGGTTCACTAAAAGTGAAGGATGGACATCCGCAAGATTGGGATTGTGTATGATTGTTGATCAATAAGTGGACTGTATAACACTTTTATTTTGTTTAAAACTATTTATTCTTTAGTAACTGAATCGTTGACCAAAAGTATAAAGGAAAATACATATAAGTTGTTGTAATGACATGCGTCTGTTACTCTTCGTGGCTTCTCTGCAACAGCGGTGAGATCAAAAAAGGTTAGGAAAGGGCTCACTTTGTCGGCGACGTAACGTACAGGTCTGTTTGTACCCTCTCCAGAATATATCACACATACATGCGAATAATAGATACTAACATGTGTAAAGTTCTGTACAGATTGTTTCACTCTTTTGGAACTGTATATGCCCGTGGTGTTCCTGCCGTATTCACCAATGTAACGTATTTTCCTAAATTCATTTACAATTCATTAGTTCGAAATATAAATAAAAGCAATTTAGTTTGTTTCTTTGATTATGTGTTACACTTACTAACTATGATGTAGAATGAAGTGTAAGTAGGTACTTATTATCTTATTAATAAACGCTACTTACGATATTCGTTTATTAGTGTAAAAAGTGGCTGATTGAGTTATATCCCTGAAACTATTTACAACCGACGAGCATGAGATGTTACCGTGAGAACGTACTTTACTGATTATGCATTTTTCTTTCCAAAATGTAATAATAAAATTATCACTTCTTATTATAGATTTATTATATACCATTTTTTTTATAACCGGTCCAACGAACAGGTAACTACGTTTACCTCTGTTAGATTTACTTTATGTAAATTTACTGGTTTTCAAATAAATAAATAAATATTTATCCTCATAAATGTAGCAGAATCATGAAGAGATATAGACGTTATCTGGAAGAAAGTCTGTTAAACTCTGGCACCAACCGGGATTCTTTGTGGAAGGACTGTTGTAGAGCTTGCTTTGTTGTTAAAAAATATTAAACGACTACTAATTAATACGAAAATCGATCAGATTTTGCCGTTTAGTCAAATTTTATTGGAGTTGTATTTATTTTCGCAACATAAGGGCAAATGAAACGGAAGCTGCCCGCGCACAACTGAAGTTAACATGTGGCAAGTTCAAAATTCTGCTGATTGAGTCGAAATGGTGTCGCAGCCAGCAGAGGCAGCAATAGATGGTTATATTATTTAAGTAATGATGACATAGAACTAAAGTTTGTAGTCAGTGTTCTGTCGAAACAATCAGATGTGGATCGGCACATTGATCTGTCTGGATCTGATCATCTCGCTGTAGAGACAATTCTAAAAGTTCACCAACCACTTGGTGCCTTCAATACATTGGATTTTTTTTCAGGCACCAGGTACGTATACCGTATGTTTACTGGATCAATAGCGTGTCCATTACGTTCAGCTTNGCTCATGCACAACAACTTTGCTAAAGATCATCACATGATCAAATGCATAGTTTACGATTCTATAAAGGACATACAGACAAACATTCATTTTTATATATATGGACAGGAAAAGTAACAGAATTTGGAAATTAATTTTTAATTTATGTCACTGAAACGAAACTATAGGCATGAGCTGGGTCCTAAACGTCTTTTAACACTACCCTCTCTCGCTTCCTTCTAGGCTATTAAAGGAACCTTTTCGTCCACATCCAACGTTTTTCTTTTAATAACCATCTACGCTTTATAAATTTTGCGTATTGTTTCTCTACATCACTATATAGTATAAAACAAAATCGCTTCCCGCTGCCTGTCCCTATGTATGCTTAGTTCATTAAAACTACGCAACGGATTTTAATGCGTTTTTTTTTAATAGATAGAGTAATTCAAGACGAAGGTTTATATGTATAATACATGCATAATATAGTAGAGAAACACTGATAATTTTAGAGGTTTCTAATGTGATGTCGTAAATAAACACATTTTTTGCGCTTACATTGCAAACGCTGGCTAAACCCTACGAGATCGATCAAAATAATGTACCATAGTATTGTACATCTTAAAAAGGTCTACAAAAAAGTCCGGGTTGGTATATGTCTACCTCTTAGAGATAACCCACAATAACCATTTTTTATCCTTTACTTTTTATGAGAAATAATGGCTTATTTACGAAGTGATTTTAAGCAATACAGCATTAATCCTTATCCAATTAAGTACTTCTAAATACATTGTGCATTTAATATAGATCAATATGGCCCTTTACATCATGTAATTTAAATGAATATTTTCCAAGATATTACAGATTTAAAATGCAGGGACGTAGCGGTACTTGTAGCACTTTATGATTAGCAGCGATCGCACGCGTTTATCGGAGCTCTATAGCCAGGAAAATAATAATTATTACCCGTGCGAAGCCGGGGCGGGTCGCTAGTATGTAATACAGTAGAACCTCGATAAAATAAAGACCAATGGAAACGTAAAATAATTTGAGTCATTGAGGTTTGTACTTACTAAGGATTTAAGTTTTAGTTTTAAAATTTCCAGTGACTTGGCAAACTCTTCACNGATTTTAAGCAATACAGCATTAATCCTTATCCAATTAAGTACTTCTAAATACATTGTGCATTTAATATAGATCAATATGGCCCTTTACAGCATGTAATTTAAATGAATGTTTTCGAAGATATTACAGACTTAAAATACAGGGGCATAGCGGTTGCGGCGGTACCTGCCAGTTTGTATTGTCTAATGACAAAAAAGCTGTGATTGTTGTATATAAAGACATTCAATAGTATATTAAGTATCAGCATTGCACCCTTGCGAAGCTGTGGCGGGTCGCTAGTAGTGTATAATGAACGTTTTGTTACAAACAGTTGATCAGCATGCACCGCACATGGGATTAATTGATTTGACCATTGCAAATATGTTTCTTCTAAATTTCGTTGCAACCAAATTTATATTAAAATAGAATAATCCAGTAAATTGCAGTCTTACTTCATCCAGCAAATCTGGAAATCTGTATCATAAGTTTTCAGCAGTTACTATATGTATAAATATAAAAAAGTCAACCTGTCCCAGTCAGAAAAATTATTTTGTACTTTAATTTAGTAGAGATAACAACAGGAACACTTTGTTGCCTGGTTGCCAAGCTTGGCCCACAACTGGACAGTCAATGCTGAACCAAGACTTGGTGAACAATACTTACCCAAGATTGGCAACCTATATTGGACGGAACATGGTAAATGCATGGTATGTAACTTCGGCTCAAGAGTGGCTAGTATAATTGGCTCACGAGTGGAGAGCCAATGCTGGACTAAGAGTTGGTGAACAAAACTAATCCAAAATTGGCAACCGATATTGACCCGAGCATGGCAAATACTTGGTATATAACTTCGGACCAAGCCTGGATGCCAAAGTTGGCCCACAACTGGACAGCCAATGCGTAACCAAGACTTGGTTAACAATACTTATCTAAAATTGAGCAGCCTATTTTGGGTCAATATTTGATGAACAATATTAGCCCAAGATTGGGTATTTATTTTTTTTTTGACGTTTTTGATTATTTCAATTTAGGAAGAAGTAAAAATTAAAAAACAAACATTTTATTAATATTTGATAATATACAAAAAAAATAGTTACCCTAAACATATGGTACACGTATATTTACGTGATAAATATCAGTAAAATAAGGTAAATTATCTCACATTAGGCTTCTCAATGAGCCGCTGCAACCTGCTGCCTTCTTTGTCGCCTGCACCCGATAAATAATAGCAGCATACATATAACAAGCCGGGATACTTTCATTTCTTTTAAGGGGATAGAACTTTGATCCATGACCCAGTATTGACAAATCCATACATTTCTGCCCAATAGGTTAAATTTAGCGAAACGTTAATAAACCTAGCCTTGGCAAGGACAATTAATCCAACTTTAAACCAGTATTGTCAAACCCATACTTGCCTACCCAGTATTGAACCAAACTCGGCGAAACGTTTATAAACCTAGGCATGGGACTTGACAATTAACCGAACTTTAGAGCACTATTGGCAGACCAGTGTTTGGCTGCAACAGTATCGGCCAAACTTAGCGAAATATTACTCTACCTAGTCTGGGATTTGAAGATTGACCAAACTTTGGACCAGTCTTCTCAAACCTATATTGGGCTGCCCAATATTGGCCCAAACTCGGCGAAAAGTTAATACACCTAGGCTGGCACTTGAAAATTAACCGAACTTATTGACAGGCCAGTGTTTAGCTGTAACAGTATTGGTTAAGCTAAATGAAATATTATTCTACCTAGCCTTGGTATTTGAAGATTAACCAAACTTTGGACCAGTATTTTCAAAACCATACTTGGCTGTCCAGTATTGGACCAAACTTGGCGAAACATTAACTAATCTAGTCTTGGCACTTGACATTGACCGAAATTTGGACCAATATTGACAAGTCAATGCTTGGGAGTCCGGTATTGGACCAAACTTGACGAAACGATAATGTACTTAGCCTTGGCATTTAACCGAACCTTGGACCAGTAGTGATAAGGCAATAATTGGTTTCCCACTACTGGTCCAGGTTTGGGCCTGTCGTCAATATTGGTATTTTCCTACATGGGCAATTAGTCTTCTTTCCGTTCTTGGGAAAATCTCCGAAAGAAGTGCCTTAGAAAAACTAACAATTGAAGAAAGCAACTCAAAATATTATACGAAAGTTTGGGCTCCCAAGAAGTGGGAGCAACTGATTACTTTTACTACTCGTTAAAAAACTATCTTCATGCAAACTCTTAAATTTTAATTAATAATCATAAAGTTAATTCGCACTGTCAATTGTCCGTGTTGAAGAACAATAATACGCATAAAACAATGGTTTTAATATGATTGGATATTTCTATTAGGACATTGTTCAAATATAAGTAATGATAATTACTAGCGAATGTCTAGTAGGAGGTGTATTATTATATATACCACTGCAGTTGATACATAATCATTCATCTGTGTACTATTATTACTAAAACACATATAAAATTAATATCTATGCGTGATTTGTAGCTGAAACTGTTCGGTAATGAAAATCTTTTATTATATTCTTGTGATCCATGTCGCCACAGGCGGTAAGTTACAATATGACGTTATAAATAAATATTAAAGATAATAAAGTAAATTGAATCACCACAAAATCGTTTCTTTGTGGATCAATTATTTGTATATCATAACTTTTAACAATTCTTTAATAGACCCATCCGAATAACTAAGTTGACCTTGTCGTTGTAATGTATATAATTACACGGTATCCATATAAAATATGTACCTAACGGTAAATATTAAAATCAGGATGTTGGAATTCGATAAATCCAGAGTCAAATGTAATGGATGAACGTCCTAATAAAATGATTATTAATGGAGTAGAGGCTGACGTTAAAGATTACCCGTACCAGGTTGCGTTGTTTAGTACAAATCAATTCGTATGCGGAGCAATAATAATTGCAGACCAATTCATTATCACTGCTGCTCATTGTTTTGCAAGGTAGGTAAAATAACGAACATTGCACACAGTTACAGAAACGTCAATGAATTTACTAATAAATTTTCACAAAATTTAGAACCACATTTTATACGGGGGTTACAGTGGCGAATAATTAATTTTATTTTATTTTGATGTCCAGGTGGCGCACAAATTAAATTCAATAAATAAATTCATAAATCCCACCGGAGGAGTTGTTGAAGTAGATAACTTGCGCATTAGTGAAACATAGAAAAAAAAAATCGGTTGTCTGTAAAGTCGGTTTACTGACGATAGTTGAACGTGACAACGTCATAAGAAAATACTGATGGAATGGTTTCATTTTTCAAAAGAAAATTTTAATTTTATTTGTTTGATAGATATTTTGTATGGATATAAAGAAGGAGGTAAATGGAAATATATTATTGTATAGCAGCTGTCCACGCGGACGCATCGCTCACTCAAGTAGAAGAGAGACAGATGTCGAACGCTGCCGAACGCGGAGGCCGATTGTGCCTCTTTGTCGCTCGTTCCGCGCTCTCGCTTACACTTCAAGCCTTAAATGGAACGCCTCAGAGCGAGGTAACGCCGCATGAGTCATGTTTTTTCGTGCGTGCAGCCAGCTCCATCGAATTATAAGACGTTGTCACGTCAACAATTCTGATATTATTATAGTGAATTAGAAAGAGACACTTGGTGTACATAATGTTTCAATAATGTAACAATTGTTAAATTGAACATGTTTTGACTGCAATACCATTATCAACAATTTATGTAAGTAACAACAGCTTGATAACAATAATGCAGTTCAGTCACTTTAGATTTAAGAGGGGCTTCTGTTCTAAAAACTTAGTTACCATCTTTGTTTAATGAGTTTATTTTGGTGTTTTAAAGGAAAAATTAAAAAGTACGAAGTTACTGTCGCTTAAAAGATTATATGCAAGGTTCATCATCATCATAAGATCGTCAGTCCAAAGACTCGTTGGACACGTACCTCCACTCTTTCCTATCCTGAGGAAATCTTCTTTACAACATCCCACATCCTTAACTATTTGCGAACAGTAATCTAATCTAGGTTTACCTCTACTCTTCTTAACTGCTGTTTCTGAGAGCCCTCTTTTCTCCTATTCTTTCAAATTCCTCTTCATTTTTAACTTTCTCTATCCACGGTATCCTCATCATTCGCCTGTAAAATCATATTTCGAAACCTTCTAATCGCGCCCACCGTCAATGGTTCATACCTTTGACTATCTTTTTCTTATTTCTAAATTAACCGTTCGCGAATTTACTTGATTTTTAAATCTTTACCTAACAAGTATGTAATTTAAGCGACATCTCCCTAAATCACCTGATATCTTCCACGTATAGCGCCTCCTAAAGTGATGATTGAATAGTGTATTCGCGACGGTTAAGTTTATCGCAAAATTCTATCAGCCTATCTCCCCTATCATTTCTATTGCCTAATCTAAAAGAACCTACTATTGCACCCACTTTATCTTCACCTACTACTGCGTTGAGGTCTCCTACTTTCCTGCTCTTTCACCAAACTTAACTCGTCTTCTATCTCTCCATAAATATTCTCTTCTTATACAAATGTTTCTTTTTAAAAAGAAGAAACTTGTATCTTTATAAACTGAAAGATTCTCACAGGATTATTTTAAAAATTTATTTTCTCTGATCAGATCTGTGCAGGTAATAGTGAATGGTGTTCAGTCTAAACAAACCTTAAAACTGATTGCAATTCCTCAATACCTCACAAACGTTTTCTCACCCAACTATTTGAAAGTTGATAGAGATTTTTTATTAGATTTCGATGATTTCAATAAAATCAAAAATAGGTATATTATCTGACGTTGAACACAATTCAGTATGAATTAAAGAATTGTTCGCTAAATAAGTAACTTTGAAATCTTACAGATGAAACTGCTTATTTTGTGCGAATTTTATTTAAATGAGACGAATATTCAAAACAACCTTTAACAGATTATTGTCATTGCATTTTAATTTAGAAACCACATTGTTTAAAGTTTAAAATAGTTATGAGAATAATCGATTCTTCCCCTGGAGAATTCTGCCATAAATTATATGCAATTTTAGTGGAGTGATTTGTGAGATTTCAATTAACCATTTCCTCAAAGAAATCTATTAACATAGTAAAAAGTCTTCTTTAGGTAGCAAACCTCAAGAAGCACATGCTACATGTGTAACGTGCTGAGTTTATTTACCGATTTATCTAGTCATTCTTTAATAATCAACTTTTAAGTAAATGTCTTATTGTATGTCTCATATATTGCATAAGCGCTCTGGCCTCGCTAAAGGACAATCATGGCCACTATACTTCATTTAATTTCTGTAGCGATGTGACCTTCAGTTTGACCGGCGCAAAGTAGAAAAGAATAGCTCTAGGCCAGAAAAGAAAGGAGACAACTCTCGGCCAAACTCTTAACCGGCGAGGAGCGTATAATCCGTACAGTACTGCACGGAAAAATTGACCATTTTATCCACTACAATTGCATTGCTCAAATGTGCTGTTATTGGTACCATTTACTACTGAAAATATCAACGAGACGTTTATTTATATTTGAAAACATATTAAAGGCTTTAACGCTTGTTTTCGACTTGCACTACTATTCATGATTGAACAAAACTGTTGGCAGATACTGTATGAAAAAGTATGTTGAATGAGTCGAGAATATAATGAGCTTTTTTCTCCCTACCTACGATTTTGCCAGCGCGCATCCGAGACATTGGAAGGGGCACATCGCTTTAAAAAGTAAATGAAGTATTGGTATCCGTCAAATGGGAGGAGCCTAAAAACGTGGCGCCGATTAGGGAAAATTTATCGTAATTCCTATAGTGTACCGTGCAATTTCCAAGTTTTTAAAATGATAAGTATTGACACAATATGTGATTTGGCTGACACAAACCCTCGGAAAGGAAATTTCGTTGAACGTGAGCGTGTTTTTAATGCCAATCACATTATAAAATTCGGAAATAAATCCGGAAGCTAGCCTTCAAATTCCGTCAAGTTTACTGCCTACTTTTTACAAACTTCGGATTTAAAAAGTGATTCACGTTATATAATTGGTGAGGTGATTCTGGGTGATTTAAGCAATATCATATCAATGACTTGCACGTGCAAAGCCGATTTAAGAGAACGTTGCAAACACATTATTGCAACTTTGTTGTATTGCAGCAGGTAGGTTCTTAACCTCAAAATACTTATATCGTATCATTAGAATTGTGTTAAATCAATTACACAGGAATAAATAATTTCTCACTTTATAATTTTAGTATGATTCTAGTTTTAAATATTAAGGTTATGGCTGATGGTAAATACTTGCTGAAATATAATCATGTGCATTAAAATGACGTGAACAAATTTTTATTCTGGAATTCACTTCTTTGATACCTAGTGCTTTCATCCGAGCTTCTATTAGTTTACTTTTTTCTCTAATTTTCCGAATATATTTTTTACATATATAAAACGGTTAGTTTTTATTGGAAAGTAGTTAATGTAGGTGAAGAGTGAAGATCTATGTCTGAAGTGATATTGCAGCTTTTCACTGAACATATTAACTTTTTATTTGATTTAACTTTAGAAGAAAACTTCGTCGACTCCATCATCAAATTTTTTTTACTTTTTTAACGTGTTATTATTTTCATAAACAATTTTACAATTTGCATGTACAGTTCCTATGTAAATTTTTCCCTCATTCGAGTTATAAATTTTGCAACTAGATGGTGTATGCCCATTTGACGGATCCCAATACTCGCCGTTCGACCAGACTCATGTTGTTAAGTGACTGTAGACTAAACTAATGGGCTAAGCAAAGAGAAATAAGTAGATATATGCCTTGCACGGAAATTTCGGAGTAAATTATTGCCTAAACTATTCGTTGTTATCTTAATTATCTTATTTTTCATTTCTATAACGATCTTAACTGATCTTTGAGCCATAGAATGCGCTTTATTTACAAAAAACGTTTTTTATGAATTTTGACCTTGAATAATTTTTTAGACGATAGTAATTTCGTGTTCCTCTTTTAATATTTTTTCTAAACACTCGAATATATCGATTAAAAAAAAGATGGTAACTAATTTTTTAGAACATAAAAACCTAATTTTACTGGACTACAAATTATTTGACAATTTAAATTAGACCCTGCATACTTTCTTCTGGTTTTAAATAATGCCTTCATTGTATTACAACCGAAACAGATAATAAATAAAACCTAAAAAATTAAACAATCAGTAAATATTAAAAAAAAAATCACCAAGCAGTCACAGCTTTTACACAATTCCCATTACTTACAATCTCAAGAGAAGAACACTATATGCAACGGTCAGGCGTGACCCCTAAATAAACTGACTTATTTTACATGGATGTTCCAGCAAATCAGTATGTTTAAAAATAAAAATGTTGCTTGAAGATTAGTTTTCCCACATCATTTAGGTATAATTGTGGTTTGTTGTGTTTAGGCCATTTATTTATTCACTTCATTTTAACGGTTTCTTGTGGTATTACAATCAAATGAAAAAACTGTAGACATTTTTGCGGTTACTCAACGTAAACGCTACCTATCGTTGCTCCTACATTTCTATCAAAAATTGAAACAACCGGTAACATTTTGCGAACGTCGGCAACGGTGGGCAGTACGATGTAAACCTTGAATCTAAAATTAAATTAAATTATACTGAATCATTTGTGGATTCGAAACATCAAAAAACAGTGATTTCCAAATCGAGAACTGAATTAATGAACATCATCAAATTGTGATACAGAAGTAAAGAAAATTAAATTTTGACGTAGCGCCGCCATAGTAGTAGGTAAAATTTGAGCGTGCTGATAGTGGCGCGACAATTTAATAAATATGTGAGCTTATGTACAATATTGTATATGTTTTTGTGTAGTTAATTCTGTTATTATTCTAGACAACAAAACTGACCTGTTTAAATATTATAAATATTAAAAAATATAACGTGTAATTATACAACACGCTACTGAAGTGAAACTTCTTCAA